AGTAAATATATACAATGCTATTTGATATCGCAAAGAGACGCAAGAGACTTCATTATTAGAATAATGATTTGGTGATCATTTATTTAATCATATTGTTACTCAACTTAATTTCTAATATTACAACGCAAAAACCTGATTGAAAGATCGTCAAGGCGTAACAGATAAAAATAGGCCAGCTATGATTCATTCCGATTCTGTGCGAATACTTCGACCGGTCGTGAAGAAGCTAAATGCGCTTAAACTGTTCGTCCATCTTCCTTTTATGAATCGTAAATTTTATAGGAATATTTTCAGTCCATTCTCTGAAATCCAACTGTTTTTTGACAAGATTTCGTACATAACCGTTAGAATTCTTGGCAAATCGAACAATCTCTTGTTGAAACGTCACTTACATAATTAATGTTCCATATATTAATTAATTTTACTCCTTAAAAAAATTGAAGAATATTGAATATTTAATCTTTATAAATAATTTTTTATAAATATATTTATTTTACTTACATATTTACATATTTTCGTAATCTACTTTTCTCTTATGGCCAAACTTTCATTCTTCTGTCTAAATAAATTGAAGTATTCAAATACGATGTAAAAAAATCCATGCGAAGCTATTAATAATAATTTTGAATTTGTAACGTGACAATAGTAACCGTGACGGTAAGTTGAATATAGGAGTCTCAGAGATAATGGTCTCATCTTTATCGAAAATATCTTACAACTACGGCCGGCAGTGCTGGGAAAAGTAATGGCTCGCAGAACTATCCTTTCAAATAATTAAAATATCGGTCTGTCAGAAATTCTGGAACTGATATTGCATTTCGCCGCTCTTTTTGCCGGCTATTCTCCATTTTCTTGCAGGATTACTTAATTTATCTTTGTAACTTAAAGTTTATATTGCTCTATACACCGCGTCCTCGAGTTTATTGTACAATTCTTATTAAAACTAAGATATATCGTTTCTGTTGTTTAAATTATATTAAAGCTAGAGTATTACATTATTTTGTTGAACAAGACTTCCATAAAAATTAAAAATTTCCTTGAAAATGAATTAGTTACAAAAAAGTTGAATTGTCTTGGCTTTAAATGACGCATGATTATTGAATTAGCGGAGATTACAAAATTACGAAATTATCACCGTGAAATGAACAGTTGTTGACAAGAAACTTGGCGACAGCCACGTCGCAGATTGAGGATATTAAAATTGGCGTAACGAGTTTATATCGTCACACATCACGTTAAATGCGTACTTGTTCGGCGCTAACGACATTAGAGTTTTTCCTTCGGAATCGCGTTCGCATTAGATGGCATTTTTCGCCGATGAAAATCTGCAACCTCGGACTAGAATGTCGATGACGAGAAAAACCGAGAGTGAGAGAAGCGCGGGGATGGCAAGTGAAAGAAGAAAAATGTGTCACAGGCAATCTACAACTAACGAAGCTAGCATTAAAGATCGGTACCATCGGACTACTGAAACTCATACGTCTCGATGACAACTCCTTCCATTTGCACGCTCTATCGTGCTCTTTGAAGGTCTCATTTTACGACCAACATTGGCTGTTACTTTTCATAATTTTAATTACACTTCGTATAAACATTAAAAGATCTTCTGCGCAAATTCTCGGATATCAAATGAGAGAACTCCAAGAAATTTTCTCAATCTGCGACGCGGCTCAAAGTTTTTTGCCGACAATTGCAATTTGCAATTTTGCAATTTTATATTTTTAGGATAATTTGATAAGTACACATCTCGTTAAGATTTATTGTTTAATGTTCTTCCTATTAGATTACAACACTGTCAAGTTTTTTATCATTAACTGTTTTTCACGTAATATATAGTAAGTTGTAAATCGATAGTTAAGAGTTATCATGTCTAATCACTTATTAAAGGAAACACCCTCTTTTCTATTCTCTCTTTAAATATCAAATTACTATGATATTCTCTTTAAACAGAAATTTAGTATTATGTAATTTAGAGGAACATTTATGCTTAAGAGCGATTCCATTATCGATTCGAAGGAACGAGAGAGATTGGAGGCTTCAAAAGAAGCCTCCGACCGCATCGGCCGATAATTCTCATGCAAACGTAATGGCGAATATACTTCAGCGGCGAGCTTGTTAAATCCGTAAATATCGGTATCTTCATTACGGATGGACCGCGGGGTGGCGTCCTGCTATCTCGTAATGGATTCCATAACGGATGTCGCACACGTGCTGGGTCCGCCGATGTCGTTCGCACGTACATCCCGGAGGTGCGCATCCCCCTCTTTTACGAGTTCACCCGTTAAGCTGCTGACCAACCTAAATGCCGATGTAGCCTTAATTAAACGGCGACCCGCTCTCGCGTATAACTGATCGTTTCCTTAATCGGATTGTTTTTACGTGTGCGGATGTAGGGCGACATCGAGTAGGTATGCATGTGAACTAGGGTTTGGGTTAGCCGCGGCTCGAGAGAGAGAGAGAGAGAGAGAGAGAGAGAGAGAGAGAGAGAGAGAGAGAGAGAGAGAGAGAGAGAGAGAGAGAGAGAGAGAGAGAGTAGAGACGA